GATTCGACAAATAAAATAGCACTCAAGATATTTTAAGAGAAGAAAGAAAAACATTCGAATGTTGGTGAGCGAAAACAACGTCACAGTCATGCATTTGTAAACACCCACACGCTTCGAGACAGCAAACCATTCTTAGTGGCAGTGATATTGTAGGATTTGTTACAAGGAAGAAAAAAATTTTCATTATCAGTTTTATTGACGAGATCATCCGGTAGACTGTTCCATTCCTGTATTGTTTTTACGAAAAAAGAACTGCCAAAAGAATGGGTTTTGTAGCGGTATTCTAATATTTTGCGTGAATGGTCTTGACGGTTAGAGACGTACGTTGGTGTGAACAGATAATCAAGAGGGTTAATGGCATTTCCATTATAATATATACAATGAAGAAATTTAAGCCTCAGTTTCTGCCTCCTTACCATCAGTGTCTCCCAGTTCAATGCTTGTTTCATTTCTTTGATGCTTGCAAAGGAACTATAGTTGTTGCTAACAAATCTGGCTGCTTGGTTTTGAACTTTTTCCAATGCGTCAATTAAGTATTGCTGATGTAGATCCCAGATTACGCAAGCGTAATCTAGAATAGGTCTTACATACATGAGATAAAGGGGTTGTTTCACAGTCTGTGAAGCTTGCTTAAAATTTCTGCGTATGAAGTATAGCATCCGGCCTGCCTTGGTCACAGTTATGTCAATGTGTTTATTCCACTTGAAATTGTCGGAAAAATAGATGCCCATATACTTATAATAGGATTCATTGCTAATTATTGAATTATTTATTTCGTATCTTGTGTCTAGTTTACTAATCCGATTGGTGAATGACACACAGCAACATTTACGGACGTTTAGCCTCATTTTCTATTTTTGGCACCACGTTGATATTCGGTACAGATCATGCTGCAGAATTTCAGCATCCTTGTGCAATTTAATCGCTCTAAACACTACACAATCATCTGCAAATAACTTAAGGGGGACATGGGTCTTGAAACAATTTCGCTTACTTTTTAAGCAAACTTAACGAAACTTGCCAGTCTTGTTGTTTTTTTTCTGCTGATTTGAAATATGCAATTATTTTTTCCATCAGCCAATTAGTTCTCAAGATAATTAGAGGTAATCCGCCATGTTTTTCCGTAACAATAGAAAAAAAAGTACTCATCAAAAAACTATAATCTGCATATGTCAGATACTAGAAACACTGGTGATTGCAACATAGCAAGCAGTTTTTTGATTAATTGCTTGTAAGAGATTTTACAGCTAACTGAACTTGAGCACTTGAAATAGTGCCACCAGTCACCCAGAAATAAAGCAAATTTAAAATTTGCTCGAAAGAAATTTCAAAAATCTGTTTGCTACATTTCAAACACCACCCCATTGGCTTTGTCCTAAAAAAAAAGAATTATAGCTCTATCTACCCGCAGTGCTGAGATATTGCTTCGGCAAGCTTGCAAGAAGTCAGAAATTCAGCTTTCGAGAAAATGAGCAAAAACACAAAACGTCAAATTTAATGAGAAACACCAGGAAATATTTACATGCTTACACTAGCAAGTGCCTAGTATCCACCAGGAACATAGTCCTTTTGACCTTTGTCAACTCTGTGGCGCTTTCCCAGGACCTGCTTCACATTTTCAGCCGACACATGCTTTCGAGCAGATGCGGTCATCCTCCGCTTTTTCTTCTCTGCCAGGCGTTTCGAGTTTTGCCGGCCAGGGGTCAGGCTGAGCTTTTTGAGGATGCCTGTTGCAGCTCTTGTATAGCCAGCATTGAACTTCATGACGGCCTCACCGACAGGAGCCTCAACAGTGAACAGTGAAGCGTGCCGCTCCTTTGGTGCAAGCGCCCAGATCATGGCGTGCAAGCTTTCATTGTTATTCTGCGTCTTGCCACGCTGGCACCGCTCCAGCAGCTTCCTATCCGATAAGCGCTCGTAGACAGGCAGCAACGCTTCACACACATGGGCGGGCAAGCTGTAGCGGTGCTTTGGCGGCGACTGTCCTTTGGCCTCGGCTGCATTTTGCTGGCACCACGAGTCAGGGCCTGTTGGACAAAGGCTGTGGTTGGGTGCATCATCACGTGAAGTGACATGTAAGTAGGTTGCCATAACAGCCCTGTGCGTTGCATCTACATCCCCCTTGTGGGACTTCAAGGCCCACCCATAATATGATGTCAACTTGTTGACCAAATCTCCAGTGAGTCTGCCCTTGACCCCAAGGCCATGCCCCTTGTGCTGGGAAAGCAGCTTTCGCAGGTTTGTCCCCATGCGCTTCTGGACGTGGTTGACGCAGTCCTCCTTCAGGATGTCCATGTAGCCGTACACCTTTTCTTCCTGCAAAGCGAGGTAGGCCCGACTGTCTCCGTCTGACAACACGATTGTGTAGCGGAGGTTGTGTTTGGAGATAGACCTTCAGAAAAGGATAAGTGCAGCCTCAACTTCCATTTCACCAGCTTTCTTGCTGGTGTTTTTTTGACATTGGTGGTTTTCCACCCACGTTTGGTACGAAGGGTCGTTCTCCTTAGGCTTCTGCTCACAGGCTGCACAGAAATTGCTCAAGACAACATAGTCCAATACAAACCCTGTAAAAAGCTCAATCACCGTTCCGACGCCGATGTGGGAAGAATGTCCGCGAGTCATCCAAGACCCATCGTAGGAAACGGCGATGTTGCCAGGTATGTTTGTACCGAGCTCGCGATAGAGCTCTCGAACGGAACTCGCGCACTCGGTCATCAACTCCTCGGAAGCAGAGGCCACTGCAGGCGTCAGTTTTTTTTTTCACATAGTTTTGCCACGTCTTCGTGTGCAGACCCCGGTGCGATATATTCATGGCAGAACAAATGTCGTTGAGCGCCGTTTGACGATTGCCGGTGCTTTGCATTGCACGCGCTGCGAGGATGTTGACGCTGAATGGGTTTATGTTTTGGTCCCCGGCCACACGCGGCGAACTCCACGCTGACGAAAGGTCACCACAGTTGACGCACGTAATCAAAAGCTTCACGGCCAGACCGTACTCCCGATCGCATTTGCTGATATTCACATCACCGCCGCAAGTTTTACACTTCACGCACCTCAACAAGTCATTCACACAGTCTAAGCTGATGACGACGAAGCTCACGTTGTCAGCCGAGTCGGCCGCGGCACCGTCACCGGCAGCAGCCAGGCGATCTTGTTTTCGCGTCGTTGCTGAAATTGACGCCAGCTCTTGTAGCTTGGCTTCGGCATTTCTCGCATTTTCGTGCAACTCTGCTGGCTGCAGGATTTTTGTATCAATGCGAACGCGGCCACTTCCACTCGCACTTTCACACGCTGGTGGAGCCATTAGGCCTACACCAGCCGGCTCGGCAGCGGCGATGCTTGGCGCTGATGACCGGCCGTCCTCGACGCTCGCTGCTGGTGCTGCCCGACGCTTCGTGGTGTTAGCGATGAGGCTTTTTTTTCTTTTCTTTCCGAATCTGTGCACTGAGTGGAACTTTCCCGCTCGAGACGCCGACGCACACCGCTCCATCGTCGATCGCAGAATTCAGGAATGGCGCCGACGGGGGCCAGCAAAGCGCGCACAACGCAGCCAGAGCAGACGCCACAAGCCGACTTCAGCCAATCATGCTCTGAGAAACGGTCACGTGCACTAAACAACCAATCGTAGCATGCGTTTTTACTCTTTTTTGATGGTTGTTTTCTCCGCAACCAATGAACGCACATAAGCCACAGTGGCGGGAATTTGAAGGGGAAAAACTGCTCTTTCAAACGATACCAAAATGGTCGCGAGTGCAGCTGTGGACATGGAGTTACGAATTTATAAAAAACTGGTTTTTGGTGTCCGGAGCTGCGCGAATTCCGCACGCGCACGGGCTAGGAATTTAATATTACAGCTAAAATATTGATCGGAGAGATATGAAAGTCAGTACACCTGTAAAAAAATACCTGTAGTTTCTGAAAATGCTGTTTACAAAAAATTGCTTTTTTGGCGATTTTTGGGCTCCAAAGACCCGTGTCCCCCCTTAATGGGAGAGGTAATACCATCGACTATGCTATTAATATAAATCAGGAAAAGCAAAGGTCCTAATACGCTCCCCTGTGGTACACCGGACGTCACGGTTACCGCAAATGATTTTGATCCGTTACGCACTACGTTCTGCTGTCTGCTGTTTCCGTGCGGTGTTGTGATTGTGTTGAATGTGTATGCGAGTGAAAAGTGTAGTAAGTTGCTTTTGAAAGGTGGGTTGCCCTTATGACATAGGCAAAGGCCGAAAAAAGCATGCTTTGGATATAGCGCGGATTTTTACTACTCTCGTGACTTACGTTATAAGCGGTCTACACTGTAGCAGTTAGACGAAGCATCACAAGATGTCGCTACCATCATTTTGCCAGTCGGTATTCTGTAAGTGCCATGCATACACTGAAATACTGGACATGCTAAAACTCAACTTGCTTGTCGATCACACACTAAAACCAACAAAGCTTGTCAATCAGCTGCAGTGGACATATATAAAGCAGTGACAAGTTAGGCTTGTTCATAATTGTTCGTTGACTCTTGTGCGATAATGCACGTATGGGGAGAAGATGAAGATCGGTGATGCACAAAAACTTTACATAAGATTGATTTTTCACTTTCTCGTGTCTGTCCGGCACCCTTTAATTTGTCACGTGCACAAGCGTGACGAATTTTTCGTAAGCAACAGAACTTTCTTTATGAGATATTCATACGAGTTTTCTCCACGGCATGGAGTTCCAAAATAAGTGGACAATTTTTCACTTTCAAGAACCTTTCTCTATGTGTTGAGCTTTCACGCAACTATTTTTTTTTTTTTTGTACACTCAGACATTATTATAACAAAGTTGCATCAGACGTGAAAATCAGTTTGTTATATCCGAAAATTCATTATAAAGGTATATTCTTAACACTAAGTGTAGTGCAAGAATATTTTTCATGAACTCCGTTATAACCGATATTTTGTTGTATCTTGAGTTTTTTATATCAAGGCTTTAGTGTACTAAAACACGCTACCTTGCCCCAGTCGGGAAGCAGCACTGTTTTCAGCGCCTGGGGCCAAGCACCACTGAGGAGCCCAAGAGTGATCCACCAAGGACGGTGTTGACCACCAAGCGGCAGCTGCCCGCACCCTACCAAGCCGTCTTGGCAGCTGCAGCCAAGCCGAGCCGAATCATCTCGCTCACTAGCTGTAAGTGCTATCAACCCTAACATTGATCGAACTCTCAAGGCAGCTTTCCTGCACTGCGAAAGTTCATGCAGTCTGTCATGTGGTGGTGCCATGTGGTGCCGCAATCTGTCAGCATTGTGATTCCTAGGAGCAGTGCATGGTGGCATGTACTTCTTGAGCCTTTGAAGCCACCAGCTTAACACGGCTGCATTCCTTCGAAACATCTTTGTTGACTCTCTAATGCTCTGTAAGCTCAATCATACAGCCGGTCCTGAACATATCAAACTCATATTTGTTCTGCGCTTCACTGCTGGAAAATCACCCTTGAGTATTCTATGGAAAAGAATAGGCCACCTGTGGGCATATATATTGGAACACTCATACACCAACGCATTAAGTTTACTGAGTGCTGCGCTGTGCCGATGACCTGATATAAGGTAGATTATATCTCGGTTGCATTCCTTGAGTGAGGGTCTTCTCTTGTGTGCACCTGTGGCAAAAATGTGATCACGTTGCCTCGGTAAGTTGTGCGATGCCTGCCAGTGCACAGGGGTAGAGGTGGTTGCACCATCCTGCGCCAGTGTGACCTGCCAGGGTGAAGCTGCCCATAAACACCAATTCGCGCATACAACGGCAAATTTAGCCAAAGTTTCATTATAAACTGAGCAACACGCGATGGATACACAAGGGGCGCAGCCACATTCTGTAATTTCTCTGCCGAGCAGTTCAATCACGTTGCATTTCGGTTCATGAATGATGCTTGCACATTGCGTGAACCTAAACCATGCATGATCTTGCGCCACGGGAACACAACACGCCAGTCTTGTGAAAGGGGCACTAAAGAGCAGAGTGGACTGGCAGAACATAGGAGAGGCTTTTGTCCTGCAGTGGACGTAGTCAGGCTGATGATGATGATGATGATCAAAGAGCAGAACGTTTTTTCGCATATTGGTAAAGTACAATTTCACAATCCCGAAAACAGCCCTCTTGTCAGAACAAAATGCAGGTGAAGACGCCAGTTTGGAATTCCCACACCAAACACCATGATATCATAGATTTTGTAGGCGTCCACTGGGTTCTATGTAGCCTCTAATTGATAAAAATGTAGCATACAGTCAAATCCCACTACAACAAAACTCACGAGGCACGGAAAATATTCCGTTGTAGTGAATCGAAAAAAACATAGCTGATCTGTGCTAGCTAAACAAAGGAACGTTTCTTTTTAAAATTAAAGAAGTATTCACTGCTTCCTATTCTTTCCCAGCAGCGTCAAGACGCGATTCACAGTAATGCATAATGAGGTCATGGTGAAAACGGCTGAAATAACGCCTACAACCGCATTTGTAAACGTACCAAACAGTTGCATTAACACGTTAACACTAGCAGCTGTCCGCCGTCAAAGTGTATCCGACAATGCTGACATGGAGGCATGGTATCGTGGGGCGGTGGCTTTTCCCTTATTCTATGCCATTCTTATCATTCAAATCTCGCGGCTGGCGGATTTGGTTGATAGTGCGGACGAGCGGCCGCTCTGATTAGGTACCACACTGGCCAAGCGCGAATAAAATGATAAGCATTGGAATCGGAAAAGGCATCGATCCGCGGTTGCACCCAGCAGCTGCGTGAAGGAAATTATGAACTGAGGGACTGAGCTTCTGCTTCGGATTGTCTGCGGCTCGAAAACAAGCCAGGGGCAAAAGCAGGGCCATCCTTCATGAGCAGGGCAGTCTCATTGTCATCGCTATCGAGCAATGACGGCGCTTATGCTTGCTGAACAGTGGCGGTTTCTGGTGGTGGCAACGCGTGTTTTAGAATTCGTCGACGTATTTCAAGGTTCTCAAAATGCATCAATGTGTTAAAGATAGGGCTTCCTGTATGGGAATAAATATCTAAGCCTGGAATTGCATCAAGAAACTTCGTTGAGGCGAGACGGCAGAAGAAAAAGTGTTCGTTGTGGCGACAATATTTATGCATTCACTCCTATGGACTGCTGACGAGGAAGCGTGAATTTTCCGTTGTAGCAGAAATTTCGTTGAAGCGGCGTTCGTTGTAGTGGGGCTCGACTCTATTATAATCTCTTGCATCTTAGCATATTATCAGCTGTTGCATATAATTCAAAAATAAGTTCGTTATGTTTAAAAATGTGTTATAAAAATATATGATCACTAACGCTATATTTATTGTAGGACTATTGTTTATTTACTTTGTTATAGGCAATATTTTGTTATACTGCATGGGTTTGTTATATCAAGGTCTGAGTGCACTGTAATGTGCGTCTCAAAATTCTAGGTGCTCGAATATCCACACCGGCTCATAGATTACGCATTGTTGTGCCTTTCTCGTTGAAATCTTCAGCTGATGTGGTTCCTTTTCCTGTGCATATGACATTGCAGCCGCCAAAACAGCCAAGCCAGTGATGCGAAGGCAGGTCCTGCCTCCGACAGCATCGTCTCGTGCATCTCTTGGAATCGGCGATTCCAGTGATGGTGGTGGAGGAGGAACGGTCATGTTGCGACGGTCGATCACTGAGGCCACCTCTGGAAGGCTAGGAGGCTCGCAGGGGCGCTTTAGCACTTTTGCAGGTGAGAGCTTAAGAGCTATTCGTTAATCTCTTGTTCAACTTGTTAGATCCACTGCCGCTCGTCGGCAAACGAACTGCCGTCTACACCTGAAACGACACTAACATAATATTTGTTGCCGAGATTTTTACCAATTGTAACGATGGGGTGCCGACATTCATAGACACTGTCGCGGGGTTCGCGCTACGAGGTGCGATCGCGAAGAGACTGACACGTGCACGCTGCTTGACGCATGCACTGCCAAGGATTGCTTGGAACAGTGGCTAGCAGTTTCGCACGTCGTCACTCGAAAATGCGATGCCAAACGCAGTGCGCACAGATTTTGGTTATCGTAGCTACACATTTCACACATCGTCACCGAATGCCACCGCCAAGTGCATTATGCGCCTGCTGCACTGTCCACGCAGCCGCGCACTCCACCGTCATATGGAGCGCTGTCAATAAGCTTTTGTGATGCAATTTAGACGTGCTTAGAGCCGTGCTTGGTATCGTCACGGGCGTCTATGAATGCTCTGAGGCAATGAAAGCCTTGTAGATTCCGCGACGGGCCATATGATGTTGCGTTTCACGGCTAGAGCGGCAAGCGAGCGTGTATGAAGCAGGGGCACGAATGTTTATATGCTTGTCTGGCGTCATTAATTAAACTGTTATAAAATTCCTGTGCCAACAGTCTTCTGCCCATAACTTTGTTATTTGGAAAGAAAACATAGGCCGTCATGGTGTGAGCCGTTTTTTTGATGCAATAAACCTCTCTCTATATAAAAAATGTTCAGTGGTTATTTGTAATCAAGTACTTAATTACGTTAATGACAGCTTGAGCACAAGAAATCTGTGTGATCATTTTTGTATGTGGTCTTATTGAAATAGTATCTTTTCTGTTATGCTTATAACACCACTCCTTCATACGAAGAAGAACTTTTGAAATTAATACTTGGTATTTGTAAATGAAGAAAAAGAAGTTAAAAAAGGCAACAAAGGCTTGCTGGTCAGAGACCACATGCCTGAGAAGTCAAAGGTCAAATATCACAAGCCAAACCTGAAATCACAATTTTTAGGGGTTTTAGAGACGTAAAGAGAAGTTCAAACTTTAAACGCAGTTTTCTCAATACTGTTTTTTTGGCATTTTGCTCATCCCATCCACGAGGTTAAATGAAGAAATAATTTGTCTTTATCAATTAAGTACAGTAGACTCTCAATATTTCAAACTCTGGTAATTCATACTTACGGCTTATTGAAACAAAATTCAATTTTTAGGATGGCTCTCTATTCTTTCAATGTATTTAAGGGGAGATGCGAGTCGAAAAATTTCTCGTATTTCTGATTTTTATTGCATTGTAATCTTCAAACCTTCTTCTTTCATCTGTGAAAATTTAAAACCTAAATTCGAACCGCAAAATGCAAAAAAATGTGCATGAAGGCATCGCAGTGGCTCAAAATTTCGTGAATTTGCGCCGATATTCGGCCATCTTTGACTGCGCGCTGCTCCCTGTCGCAGTGCCGCCCGCCATCGCGATCGGTTGGGAAAGTTGCGTCCGGCCTTCTTCTTACTGCTCCGACGACCGCTAGTTTCGTACGTGGGCAAAAAAAAAATAAAAAACGAGGCCTTTTTATCACGTGGTTTGAGCGGTTTGAAACGCGCGGCACCCTAAGCCGCATCGCCATTGGCTACCGAGTCATTGTCAGCTGTGTTGGTGGCGGCCATCTGCATTTGGTCCGTCTGCTTTTCTGTGCATCTACGCATGTTTCTCGCGATGACAAGCCCGACAAAGTGCAACGTGAGACCGCAGAAGTTTGGAACGAAGCACAAGTTCAAGGGAAGGCGGCGTAAAGCGCCCCGAACGACGGCGACGAACGAGAACGCGCCTACGTGTGCTAGGCCTGACGGCGGCATCGAACGAGTGCGCGAGCGACAGCAGCTGCGATGAAGGGATTGACGCTGCAGCTTTCTTTCGTCAGTGCTTCGGAAAAGAAGCTCGGCTTCTTCGAAAAAGACGAAAGACAGCTCGATGAGGTTTGTGCAACGACAGTTTTGTGCGACACCCTCTTGCTGACGGCACTTGCGGCAGGTGCGGCATGCCCTGCTTGCGGTATTCAAAAACTTGCCATTCGGGAGCCGGCAGAAAAGCGCAAAGGACTTTCGTCGCTCCTCGAACTTCATTGCGAAAACAGCGAATGCTCAGCGACTGTTCTTTCGTGCTCCTATACGTCACTGCGTGTTACGGCGGATGGCAGCAGCCGAGTGAGCCAACGGTACGACAGTGGGAGCTCCCGAGATAGTTTCGCTGTAAATGTGAAGGCGGTGGTGGCTGCACGCCCTGTCGGCATTGGGCATGAGCAATTGTAGAGATTTTGCTCCATTATTGGACTCCCAAAGCCAATGCACCACCGAGGATTTTTTTCGATAGCAAAGAAGGTGCACACCGCTGCCCTGGCAGCTGTGAATGAAAACTTGCACCGATCCAGAGAGTTGACGAAAGAAGTAGCAGGCGAAACTGATGTGGCTGTTATGTTCGACGGCACTTGGCAGAAGAGGGGCCACAAAAGCCACAACGGGATTGGCGCAGTTATCTCCTTAGATACTGGCCTCTGCTTAGACTTCGAGATCATATCAAATTACTGCCTGACATGCAGTAGGCACAAGGATATGGGCCCAGACGAGGAAGTGTGGCAGGCATTCCATGGCCCAGTCTGTGAAAAAAATGCAGACTGTTCCTCCCATGCCATGGAAACGGAGGCTGCAATGCGCATTTGGCAGAGAACATTGACTTATGACACCCCACTGCATTTCATGACATTCTTGAGTGACGGTGACAGCAAAGCATATAGTGCAGTTGCAGAGTCAAAAGTCTATGGTGCTGTCAATATAGAAAAAGAAGACTGCACTAATCATGTGGCCAAGAGACTTGGCACCGTGCTACGGAAGCTGCATGTGCCATTACCACGAGGGCAGAAAATGAAAGAGCCAGCCATTCAGAAGCTCCAAACACACTATCAGATTGCCATAACAAGCAACAGGGGGAGTGTACGGGATATGTACACGGCAGTATGGGCTTCGTATTTCCACTCATGCTCTACTGACAATGCTGGCAGCCACAAGTTTTGCCCTGCAGGAACAGAGTCGTGGTGCAAACATCAACGCGCTGAAGCACTTGGTGAACCTGCACCACGCCACACACCTCTCCTGACAAAAGCACAGGGATTGGCTGTTTTGCCCATTTATAAGCGGCTAACGGATGAGAAGCTCCTTGCTCGATGCATCAAAGGGGAAACCCAGAACGCATCGGAATCCCTGAACAGCAAAATTTGGCTACTTTGCCCCAAGACTAAGTTTGTCTCCTGAACGGTTGTCGAGACTGCCGCAGCTATGGCAATCCTGTGGTTCAACAAGGGTCATGCTACTTTCGAGCACATCCTGGAAGAGCTCAACATACTGCCATCTAGAGATCTAGTTACTTTCAGTGATTCCCGCCATGCGAGGCGCATCAAGAGAATGTCCGAGCGTCTGACAGCAGAAGCAAGGGCCCACCGTCGTCGTGGAGTGAAAAGGGCATGGCTAGAAGAGAGTGCTCGCAAGGACCGTGAAGTCACAACCTATGCTGCAGGACAGTTCTAGTAACTTGCAGTGCTTTTCAAAGTTCTGTTGAACATTATGGCCAAAGATTATGCATTTCTAACAACTCTGTGAAAAAAAAAAAGGTTTCAAACTTTCAAATGCGTTTTTCTTCTTTTGCAGTTTTGTGTGATCTGTGCTTCTTATACACGCTAGTTTGTATACTTAGAATTGTCATACCTCTATGAAATTTTGCACATAGTATGATGAAGGCCCATAGAGTGCAAGTATCAATTCAGATTGTCAGTGCTGCTTGATTATGTTTTTCAAAAATTACATAACATTGAAAGCCCTTGGCAACTAGAGCCATAGTAAATTTTTCTATTTTATTATTGTATTTCACCTTTTTACACACAAAATTTATATAGTTTTTTGCACTCTACAGTTCCAAAGGATCATAGTCAGCTATATCTGCATGCTTTATCTCAAATTTTTATAGGTCAGAATTGTTGCATAACAATGGCCATAATTTTGCAGTATCTGACCTGCAGAAAGGAAACCAAGCAATCTACATGAAAATAAATGACATATTTGAAAAGAAGAGAAAAAACTTTATTAGCATGCCAATTTGTGTTAAATTCAGACTCTTATTAAAGAAAATCATTTTTCGAGTAGCATCTCCCCTTAAAAGCCTCTAATACACACTCCATCATTCGGTTAATTCATACTTCTTGCAGCTCCCTACCAGAAAATATGTACTGCTTTCCCACTACTATTTAAAAATTTGCGTGCTTATATAATCCTAACAGTACCTCAGGCCTTCAAGAAAAAAAGCTTTGCTAGTGAACGAATGTTTGAAACAAAGCACACACATGGTAAACAGTGATACTTCTCAACTGGTATAGGGAGCTTTGTGCTAAAGGCACATACCAATAGCAAAGAAGCAGTTGACAATTCACAGTTTCTTTAAAAGGTGTGATAAGCAGTAAATGGCCAATAAACTTATGGACCTTGCACCTATGCTTTCTGTTCATTGCGTGCAGTTATGATTTAAGAATGCTTGAAAAAATTTTAAATGTGGTAAAATCGATGCCTAATCATAATGTGTGGTGCATTTTACCCAGGGTCATCTAGTATGTGGTAACTTCTCATAATTCAAACTTCCTGATAATTCAAACAAAATTCAGAGGTCCCTTCGAGTTTGAATTACCGAGAGTCAACTGTATTTGTGGTATCGCCTCAAAATTTTTATTCCCGCAGGGGCGCCTGCGCAAGTAGGCGTTTGGTGTGTAGCGACACCACGGACCCGAGCTAACGGGGGAGTTTCTACTCCCTCCCACGCCTAGCCGTGCGTGGCTTTGCCGTGTCCGGGGAAAAGGGGATCCTGGGGGTTGAGCCGATGCTGGGTGATTGGACTTTTAAGGCCCCCCGGCAGAGGCAACACACCCCTTTG